CCTGTACATGGCCTTCTGGCCGACCCTCAGCCGTTTTGGCTGTCCACCGAAATTCATCGCCATCGTGAGGCAACTCCACGATGGCATGAACTGCAGTGTCCTGCATAATGTCACCCAGTCTTAGTTGTTCCCTATCTAAACAGGGGTAAAACAAGGATGTGTACTGGCACCGACTCTCTTTTCCATTTTCTTGGCTGCCTTCCTACTCATGCCAGTGCCAATTTAGCCGGCGGGGTGGATATCGAGTATCGGTTGAAGGAACTTTCCAACATACGACGGCTCCAGGCAGCAACAAAGGTGTCAGCAGCTTCCATTACTGAACTTCAGTAAGCAGTCGACCTCACCCTTGTCGTTCACACTGAACGCGACCTACAGGAGTTCCTGAACATCAACACAGATGCTTATGCACACTTCGGCCTTGAGGTGAACGTACGTAAGATTCAGATTCTCTTTCAGCCTGACCCTGGTTCAGCCCACCTCCACCATCCATCCAGCTCAATGGTACTACCTTCTCTAATGTTTCCAACTTTTAGCATATCGGCTCCCACTTGTCCACTACACAATAATGTGTCAACACTTTCGAATTAGCCTGACTGAAAACTGATGCAGACAAGCGCTAGCGCGGGAAAGGCGCTCCCGTCACCCTTACCGCACAATATGTAGCCCTCCACACGTGCAAGATCTGTGGACGGCCCTGTCGATATTGTATCGGCCTCTTGAGTCACCTCAGAGCTCACCAACGAAGGTGACATCCTTAATAACTCATACCATTATAAATTATCATAGCTGGATGATCATCGTACTCGGTTCCCAGTGACAGCAAAGTAGTAGTGTATTGAGGTGTAGAGGTGTGTTGTGAGGAGTTGTGTGGTGGTGTGTTGTGTTGTATTGTGGGGTTTTGTCTCGTGGTGTTGTGTGGGGTGTTTTGCTGTGTTGTGTTGTGTTGTGTTGTGTTGGGGGATGTTGTGTCGTGGTGTGTTGTGGGGTGTTGTGTCATAGTGTGTTGTGTGGTGTTGTGTAATGTTGTTCGCGACGACCTGTGGTGTAATGGTCAGCATCCTCGCCTCGCAAGTGAGCGGACCCAAGTTCGATCCTCGGGCAAAGTGAAACTATGGGCAAGTTTTTTTTACGCCATTTGCCTCTGTCTACCCAGCAGTAATTGGGAACTTGGATGTTAATCGATTTGCGGATCGTATTCCGGGGTAATGGTTAGCTAGTAAACTTAGAGTGTGGTTGTTGTGTTGACGGCAGCTTCTACACCTAAACAAATTCGCGCCTAGGAGGTCCTTGGGCTGGCCATCCTCGATTTCGAGGGGCTTCCATTATCATTATTATTAGTGGTGTTTTGTGTTGTGTTGTGGTGTGTGGAGGGTGTTTTGTGTTGTGTTGTGTTGTGTGGAGGGTGTTTTGTGTTGTGTTGTGTTGTGTTGTGTGGAGGGTGTTTTGTGTTGTGTTGCGTTGTGTGGAGGGTGTTTTGTATTTAGAGTAGGTAGATGTTGTTTGGTGATGATAGGTCATTGTTGTTGGTGGTATGTGGTGGTGATAGGTGGTGTGTGGTGGTGATAGGTGATGTGTGGTGGTGATAGGTGGGGTGTGGTTGTGGTGGTAGATGGTGCATAGTGGTGGTAAGTAGCGTGTACTGTGTGGTGGTGATAAATCGTGGTTGGTAGTGGTAGGTGGTCTGTGGTGGTGATATGTGGTATGTGGTTGGTAGGTGGTATGTGGTGCAGTTGTCAACGCCAATGGAAGCTTTATTGCCTGGGACAAGATAAATCTATTTCAAGTAAATACAGTAAACTTGAACTTGTTCGCTTGGGCGGGAGATTTGTCTCGTTTATTAGGGTCTACCAGCTCTGTGTTGTGTAATGCTCTCATAGTGTCATGGGCGTGTCAGTTCGATTCATTAACTCATCGTGAAGTTTCATAGTCTTAATTGCAATAAATCTCTACAATATGTTAGTCTCTATATTTCTACCATGCATAATTATACAGTAGAACCCAAAATTTAATATTTAAATATATAATCATTGTGCATGTATCATTTAGTGTCGGGGTAACGAGTTTTAATAGTTATAGTATTTGTTAAATATTACGGAGCCTTGTAGTCACGTTGTACACCCCACCATAACAAACATTTACCAGAACATTGTACATGAAGATATAATACAGTTGTTCCTCTTGAATCTACAGTAGGTAAAGCGTGTGCTGCAGGTACTGTACACTGAGGAAGCATAACGAGATGGGACACGCAGTGACACATTTAGTTCAATTGTGGATTCACACTGACACACACATCCAAGACCTCAGTGTTGGAGGCCTCGTGTGTCACTACCGCCGCCACACAACTGTTCCAGTATAATAAGCTATCATAGGCATCTCACGGCAGGGTGGCGAGGAACCCCAGGCGCTGTTGACTGTTCTTGCTGGTGCTATTTTTATTGTGTGGACTTGTTGCTGGCTCACACATTTCTTATATCAGTGTTTGTCAGAACACCCACGAGTGATTGCTCCTTAATGGGTAGGAACGTGATCTTGTAGAGAGAGAAAAGGGATACAAACTTGGGCATCTCTCCCGGCTAAATTATCTTGGATAGACCATCTTTGTGTCGTTAACTCCTTAATGCGATCACGTTTCCAAGAAACATAATTATAGTATGAGTTTCTGACCGTATTTTTCTAAGAGTCTGATGAAATGTTATACGCACCTGACAGGAGCGTTTAATGTTTAGGCTTTGTTAATTCATCCTTGTTGCAGCGTTTTGGTTTAACAACAGTAAATTGAGTGTCTTCGTTACAATAAACGTGATATTGCGAAGGTAAATTTTCTCTAGGGAAGGGAGGATCTCTCTTGCTTTTTAACGTCACTGAATCAAAGGTCAAGGTCAGGTGTGCTAAAATGAATTTTGGGTTCCAAATTACAACACGAATTTCCACTGCCGATGAACATAAAAATATTCACGTCCCTAACTTGTATGGGTAGGGAGGGAAGGACGGCAGGTTGGATGGAAGAAAGGAGTTAAGGAGGGAGACAGGGAGAGAGGGAAAGAAGAGTGAAAGAGAGAGGAAGAAAGGGAGGAGAGAAGATATGAACGAAAGGAGTGGAGGTAGGAAGAGAAGGAGAGAGAGGGAGGGAAGGAAGGAGTTAGAGAGGGGGTATAAAAAAAGGTTCTTGCATAACCAGCGAGGAGTTTCACATGACCTCAGCGGCATGTTCTACCTGATGATTCCTGGGTACCCCTTGAACCATTGTACCAGTGAATCATTGTACCCCTGAACCATTATACCCCAGAACCATTGTACCCCCGAACATTTGTACCCCTGAACCATTGTACCCGTGAACCATTGTACCCCTGAACCATTGTACCAGTAAACCATTGTACCCCTGAACCTTTATACCCCTGAACCATTGTACCACCCGAACCATTGTACCACTGAACCATTGTACCCCCAGAACCATTGTACCCCTGAACCATTGTATCCCTGAACCATTGTACCCCATTGTACCCTTGAACCATTGTACCCCTGAACCATTGTACCCCTGAACCATTGTACCCCTGAAACCATTGTAACCCTGAACCATTGTACCCCTGAACCATTGTACCCCTGAAACCATTGTAAGCCTGAACTATTATACCCCTGAACCATTATCCCCCTGGACCATTGTGCCCCTGAACCCTTGTACCCCTGAGCCATTGTACCGGTGAACCATTGTAAGCCTGAACTATTGTACCACTGAACCATTATTGAAGTATGTAGGCACTAAGGAAGAGAACTTTTGTCTCGGCTGTTGATACGTACATGAGGATTGTTTAATCAATTGAAACCCAAGGTCACACGAAACATAGAGACAGGGGGGATTACAACACAACACAACACAACACAACACAACACAACACAACACAACACACTGTACGAGGCGAAGTATTGTGCTTAATATAAGGAAAAAAAAATACTTGTCTGACAAATAATACGAAAACAAAACTTTTCGATTCTCTGTTTCTATTTCTTAAAACACCCGACAAAGAGGGGAACTTAATTGTATGTGTCTGTCGTGCTCCAGGCAGTGACAAATAGTCAGAAGCACACCTGAATGAATTGTTACCCAGATTTATAGATAAAAACTGATAATACTTGCTGGTGATTAACTGACTCAAAACAGTGGAGGACGAAGAGTGAGGAGTTTGAGTTACTGCCAGATGATGAAGGAGGTACTGAAGAGTCTCGCGTGTTATATCTTATAATGACGAATAAGGTGGGAAGAAAAGAAACACCTTGGGCGAGAGTGATCACTACGGTACAACCACGAGAAAAAGAACTAAACAAGTTCTTTGACAACTGCTGATTAAGATTTAGTGAGGAATGAGATCGATATAGACCAGATGGATCAGTTGAGTATGCGTCGATAACACGTAAACAACAACAGCTAAGTGTAAGAAATGTAAACAATACACGGGAAAATAGAACGAAGTTTAGAAGATAACAAGGAAATTTCAGAAAAAAAAAACGGGGAGAAAGTCATACTTAATGATGCAGCGACAAACACCGTCAGAAATGTAAAGTTTAGGGATATTTAGTTGAACAGTAATACTATCATGGCGGCTGTAATAATGACAGAAACACTCCAAGAAAAGGAGGATGTCTTATATTTTCAGGTGTGTTTATGATAGAATCTGAGTCAGAAGTTTCAACACTACTTTAGAGAAAATTTAAGAACATTAAACCAATTCATCATATTATAAGATTAGGTCATACTGAAATTGGAGAAAATCAAGGACAGTTCTCACGTCCAAACACAACACTCCAAGACAGCTAAAAGACATAAGAGATTGAACTCCAACACGTCATCCAGAGCAGGTATATCAGTGGAAGACTAGAGAACCGTTAAGCTAACAGATCTATCCAAGAAATGTAATGAAAAATAATTAGTAACTGCAGACCTAATCGTCTCACCTGTGTCACTGCAACTATAAGACTGTGGCAACCACCATAGGGTTTGCATCATGGAGGAACAACCAACTCCTCAGCGAGAGGCAGTGTGGCAAACACGTTTAGTGCACAAATATAGTACATCGTTCCCACCAACTGTAAGACATCCACACAGTCGACACTTTTCTGGGGAGGAGGACAAATATATTGGTAAACGTGCTGATGAATATAGTTACAAAGCTCGCCGAAAAAAGTAAGTTACTATATTATTGCATACGGGATAGCAGAAACCTTAGAGACGACCGACAACTTCATATGATATAAGATAAACATGAAGAAGAGACTCCCTAGGTCTGACACCACATAATAACAGTAAAGAAGATGACAGTGCTTAGCTGTTCACACCAAGCTTAGACGCATTAATTTCTGTTTGCAAACAGAAGAGGTACATCACATCCTCCAGAAAGGACTGAAAAAATCACTAAGCAGACCAAAGTGTTATGTATGGTTACACAGACTCAAAATTGTGCTTTAGAACCAAAACTTGTTCATTAAAGAACCAAATAATGGTGTAGAGCCATTACTTGTTGGGTACATAACCGACCAGTGTCCTCGACCAACTCAATCAATCAATCAATCAATCAAAGTATAGACCAGTGCTGTATAACCACTAATTGCTTATTATAGAACCGACCAGAGTTATAGAGCTACTATTTGTTTGCTATGGAACCAAGCAGTGTTGCAGGGCCACTAATTGCTTGTTATAGAAGCGACCAGTACTGTAAAGTCAGTAGATCTGCAAATACAGGTTAACAATCTTGGCCCACCACACATTTCACTAACCACTTCTGGCTGTGTAGCTCTCACGAGAAAACGCCACAGCCACAGTCACAACCATAGACACAGTCACAGTCACAACCATAGACAGAGTCACAACCACAGACACAGTCACAACCATAGCCACAGTCACAACTATAGCCACAGTCACAACTATAGACACAGTCACAACCATAGACACAGTCACAGTAACAACCATAGACACAGTCACAGTTACATCCACAGCCATCACACAATCACAGTCACGGCCACAGTCACAGTCACAGTCACAGCCACAGTTACAGCCACAGCCACAGCCACAGACACAACCATAGACACAGTCACAGTTACATCTACAGCCATCACACAGTCACAGTCACAGCCACAGTCACAGCCACAGTTACAGCCACAGCCACAGTCACAACCATAGACACAGTCACAGTTACATCCACAGCCACCACACAGTCAGAGTCGCAGCCACAGTCACAGCCACAGTCACAGCCACAGTTACAGCCACAGTCAGCCATAGCCACAGCCACAGTTACAAACACAGCCACACAGCCACAACCACAGCCACAGTTTCCAACCACAGCCACAGCCACAGATACAGCCACAGCCACAGTCACACCCCATAGACACAGCCCAGTTACAACAAGAGCCAAAGCCACAACCACAGCCACAGTTTCCAACCACAGCCACAGCCACAGATACAGCCACACAGTTTCCCAACCAGCCACAGCCACAGATACAGCCACAGCTACAGTCACACCCATAGACACAGCCCAGTTACAAACACAGCCACAGCCACAACCACAGCCACAGTTTCAAATCCACACAGCCACAGCCACAGATACAGCCACAGCCACAGAAACAACCAGAGACACAGCCACAGATACATCCACAGCCACAGCCACAGTCACAGCCACAGCCACAGTTTCAACCACAGACACACAGCCACAGATACAGCCACAGCCACAGTTACAACCATATAGACACAGCCAGCCACAGACGCAGCCACAGCAATAGACAAAGTCACAGTTACAGCCACAGTCACAGTTACAACCATAGACACAGCCACAGACACAGTCACAGTCACAGCCACAGCCACAGTCACAGTCATAGTTACAGCCAGACACAGCCACAGACACAGCCACAGCAATAGATACAGTCACAAAGCTACAGCCACAGTCACAGTCATCACAGTGACAGTCACAGCTACAGTCACAGTCACAGACACAGCCACAGTCACAGCTACAACCAAAGTCACAGCCACAGTTGTACAAACTTTTCATATAGACACAGCCACAGACACAGCCACACAGTGACAACCACAGTCACAGCTACACAGTTACAACCATATAGACACAACCATAGACACAGCCACAGACACAGCCACAGCAATAGATACAGTCACAGTTACAGCCACAGTCACAGTTACAAACCATAGACACAACCATAGACACAGCTACACAGACACACAGCCAAGCACAGCAATAGACACAGCAATAGACACAGCCACAGTCACAGCCACAGACACAGCCACAGACACACAGCCACACAGCAATAGATGCTAGTCACAGCCAGGCCATGTCACAGTTACAACCATAGACACAACCATAGACACAGCCACAGACAAAGCCACAGTAATAGACACAGCAATAGACACAGCCACAGTCACAGCCACAGACACAGCCAGACACAGCCACAGCAATGGAGACAACCATAGACACAGCCACAGCCACAGCCACAGCCACAAAGTTACAACCATAGACATAATCCATAGACACAGCCACAGCCACAGCCACAGCCATAGCCACAGACACAGTCACAGCCACAGTTAAGCAACCACATAGATACAACCATAGACACAGCTACAGCCACAGTTACAACCATAGACACAACCATAGACACAACCATAGACACAGTCACAGCCACAGCCAGAGCTACAGCCACAGTCAGCCACAGCCTCAGCCACATTACAGCTGCTACAGCCACAGTCACAGCCACTGCCACAGTCACAGTTACAGCTCAGCCACAGCCACAACCACAGCCAGTTACAGCCACAGGTCACAGCCACAGTCACAACCATAGACACAGCCACAGTTACAACCACAGACACAGCTACAGCCACAGCCACATCAATAGACACAGTCACAGTTACAGCCAAAGTCACAGTTACAACCATAGACACAGCCACAGACAGAGTCACAGTCACAGCCACATCCACAGACACAGCCACAGCAATAGACAAAGTCACAGTTACAGCCACAGTCACAGTTAAAACCATAGTCACAGCCACAGTCACAGCTACAGTTACAACCATAGACACAGCCACAGCCACAGTCCCAGCCACAGCCACAGTTATAACCATAGACACAACCATAGACACAGCCACAGCCACAGCCACAGTCACAGCTACAGTTACAGCCACATCAATAGACACAGTCACAGTTACAGCCAAAGTCACAGTTACAACCATAGTCACAGCCACAGACAGAGTCACAGTCACAGCCACAGCCACAGACACAGCCACAGCAATAGACAAAGTCACAGTTACAGCCACAACCACAGCCACAGTCACAGCCACAGTTACAACCAGACACAACCATATACACAGCCACAGCCACAGCCACAGCTACAACCACAGCCACAGTTACAGCCACAGTTACAAACTATAGACACAACCATAGACACAGCCACAGCCACAGCCACAGCCACAACCATAGACACAACCACAGCCACAGTCTCAGTCACAGCCACAGCCACAGCCACAGCCACAACCATAGACACAACCACAGCCACAGTCTCAGTCACAGCAACAGCCACAGCCACAGCCACAGTTACAACAATAGGACACAACCATAGACACAGTTACGGGCTACAGCCACAGCCACAGTTACAACCACATAGACACAGCCACAGCCACAGTCACAGCCACAGCCACAGCCACAGCCACAGCCACAGACACAACCATAGACACAACCATAGACACAGCAACAGCCACAGCCACAGTCACAGAAACAGTTACAAACCATAGACACAGCCACAGCCACAGCTACAGCTACAGCCACCGTCAAGAAGTTACAACCATAGACACAACCATAGAAACAGCCACAAAGGACAGCCACAGTCACAGCTACAGTTCCAACCATAGACACACAGCCACAGCCACAGTCCCAGCCACAGCCACAGTTATAACCATAGACACAACCATGGACACTGCCACAGCCACAGCCACAGTTATAAACATAGACACAACCATGGACACAGCCACAGCCACAGCCATTGTTACAGTCACGTTTCACAGTTACAACCATAGACACAAATCCATCGACACTGTTTCACAGCCACAGTTACAAACCATAGACACAAACTATAGACACAACCATAAACACAGCCACAGCCACGGCCACAGACACAGTCACAGTCAGCCATAGCCACAGTCACAAACTATAGACACAACCATCGACACAGCCACAGCTGCTGTGAAGTTACAAACCATAGACACAACCATAAACACAGCCACAGCCACGGGCCACAGACACAGTCACAGTCACAGTCACAGCCACAGTTACAACCATAGACACAACCATCGACACAGCCACAGCCACAGTTACAACCATAGACACAACCATAAACACAGCCACAGCTAATGGCCACAGACACAGTCACAGCCACAGCCACAACCATAGACACAACCTTAGACAACAGTCACAGTCACAGCCACAGCCACAGTCACAACCATAGACACAACCTTAGACACAGTCACAGTCACAGCCACAGCCACAGTCACAATCATAGACACAACCATAGACACAGCCACAGCCACAGCCACAGTCATAGCCACAGTTACAACCATAGACACAACCATAAGACATATTCACAGCCACAGCCACAGTCACAGTCGCAGCCACAGACACAAGCACAGCCACACTTAAAACCAAAGACCAAGCCACAGCCACAGTCACAGCCATAGACACAACCTTAGACACAGTCACAGTCACAGCCACAGCCACAGTCACAATCATAGACACAACCATAGACACAGCCACAGCCACAGCCACAGTCATAGCCACAGTTACAACCATAGACACAACCATAGACATATTCACAGCCACAGACACAATCACAGTCACACTCACATCCACGGTCACAGTTACAGCCTCAGATACAACCACATCCACAAACACAGCCACAGACATAGTTACAGCCACATTCAAAGACACAGTCACAGACACAGCCAAAGTCACAGCCACAGCCAGAGTGACAGTCACAGCCCCAGCCACAGCCACAGATAGAACCACAACCACAGCCACAGTCACAGCCAGAGACAGTTACAACCACAGTCACAGTCGCAGTCACAGTCACATCCACGGACACAGTTACAGCCACAGATACAACCACAGCCACAGCCACAGTCACAACCATAGACACAGTTAGAACCACAGTCACAGCCACAGACACAGCCACAGTCACAACCATAGACACAGTTACAACCACAGTCACAGTCACAATCATAGACACAGCCACAGTCACAACGATAGAATAAGCCACAGTCACAGTTACAACCATAGACACAGCCACAGCCACAGTCAAAACCACAGTCACAGTTACAACCAAAGATACAGGCACAACCATAGACACAGCCACAGCCACAGTCAAAACCACAGTCACAGTTACAACCAAAGATACAGTCACAACCATAGACACAGCTACAACCACAGACCCAGTCACAGCCACAGCCAGAGTCACAACCTTAGATACAATTACAACCACAGTCACACTCACAGCCCCAGCCAGAGCCAGAATCACAACCATAGACACAGTTACAACCACAATCACAGCTACAACCATAGACACAGCCACAGCCACAGTCAAAACCATCAGCCACAGTTACAACCAAAGATACAGTCACAACCACAGACATAGTTACAACCACAGTCACACCCTCAGCCACAGCCAAAGCCACAGCCAGAGTCACAACCATTGACACAGTTCCAACCACAGTCACCGTCACAATCATAGACACAGCCACAGTCACAACCATAGATGTAGTTACAACCACAGTCACAGTCACAATCATAGAGTCAACCACAGTCATATCCACAACCATAGTCAAAGTCACAGTCATAACCACAGATTCAGTCACAGCCACAGACACAGCCACAGTCACAACCATAGATGTAGTTACAACCACAGTCACAGTCACAATCATAGAGTCAACCACACTTAAAACCACAGTTACTTCCTCAACCATAGACACAGTCACAGCTATAGGCACAGTCACAGTCACAATCATAGACACGTTCACAGCCACAACCATAGACCTAGTCACAGCCACAGTTACAACCAAAGACACAGTCACAACCACAAATCCTGTAACAACCACAGTCACAGTCACAGCCACAGCCACAGTCACAAGCATAGACACAGTTACAACCACAGTCACAGTCACAATCATAGAGTCAACCACAGTCATATCCACAACCATAGACAAAGTCACAGTCACAACCATAGACACAGTGACAGCCACAGACACAGCCACAGTCACAACCATAGACGCAGCTACAACCACAGTCACAATCACAATCATAGAATCAAGCACAGTCATATCCACAACCATAGAGAAAGTCACAGTCACAACCATAGACACAGTCACAGCCACAGACACAGCCACAGTCACAACCATAGACACAGTTACAACCACAGTCACAGTCACAATCATAGAGTCAACCACAGTTAAAACCGGGCTGAGCTGCTTCTTTCCCAACACTTGGGGGCCTGTAAATCACTCCCATAATTTGTTTTTCTCTTCTTTCCGTGATTTCTACCCATACAGACTCGGTTCCTATTTCACCCTTTATTGAATTATTAATACAACATTTTAATGTATCCCTGACGAAGAGTGCGACCCCTCCCCCCTTCCTACCTTCCCTGTCCTTGTGAAAAAGGTTGTACCCTTCTACGTGGTACTCTGATAAAAAATTATTTTGTTCGCCAGATTCATCCAAGTTTCGGTAATTGCTATGACGTCTACATTCTCGGTACATACAACCGCTCTCAGCAAGTCTATTTTATTTCTAACGCTCCTACTGTTTGTATAGTGTACATTTAAACCTACCCTTTCCTGGTCCTGTTTTACCCCTTGTCCTGAGTAACCAATTTTAATTCCCAGGACCTGCTTGTTTTTTGACTCCCACTTACCCCGACCTCTCTCTACTGGCGAAGCCCCCCCCCCCTTTGGAGTGACAAATTCACGCTCCAGGGATGCAGACAACGTCTTTACCCCCGCACGAGACAAGTGTACAGGTAGTCGTTGCGATAGAATGGTTGCCAGTTATCAATGAATGCCCAACCATTGTTTGCACAATGTTTTTCCAGTCCGCAATTTATAGCAATTGCCCTGGACAGCCATTCACGACCAACCCCTCTTCTAGGCAAGACACCACATACTATCGGGATCCCTCCCCTATCCCTAATCTTCCCCAGCGCCTCCCTATACCTCTTGAAAAGTTCCTCACTCCTACCCTTTCCTATGTCGTTTCCTCCCACACTAAGACACACTACTGGATTGGTACCCTCCCCTGACAGAACCCTGTCTAACCTCTCGGCTACATGCCCTATCCCAGCCCCAGGAAAACACACCCTAGTCCTACGTTTCCTATCTCTTACAAAAAGTCCTATCTAAAAACCTCACCTGGCTGTCCCCAACTACCATGACCTTACCTCTGGGCAGGGTTTGTACAACTGCCCTTTCCTCTCCTTGCACCACACCGTCCTGCCTCTTCTCTTTCCCGCCAGCTTCCTCCAACACCTGGTAGGGGTTACTGCACTCCACACCCTGGTCAGCTTTCCTGAGTCTGACCCTAGTCCACTTGGAGACAACCACTCTCCACGCCTGCTACTCCTTCGCAGGTGTCCTGCTAGGCAGGACTCCTACCTGAAGGAGTTCAGTCCTGAGGGCTTCATTTTCCCCCTTTAGAGCGTCAATCTCACTCCTCAACTGCCCCAGCTGACTTAACAGAGTGGCCAGGAGGTCGTCCTTCCTCACACTCCGCTCCTCTTCCCCCAAGACACAACGATCCAAGGCGGCCATTTTCTTTGGTCACTAACGGGAGCACTTGGGGGCACGTCCTACTCCAAGCTGGGTCTAAGCATTCATGTGATGTCTGCAGTATAGGTGCAGTGTGTGGTGTTGTGTGTAGTGTTGTGTGTGGTGTGGTGTGGTGTGTGTGTGATATTAGTTTTGTGTGTGGTGTTGTGTGTTTGGTATAGGTGTTGTGTTTGGTACTGTGTGTATGGTACAGTATACAGTAGGTGTTGTGTTTGGTGTTGTATGTGTGGGGTACAGGTGTTGTGTGTAGTGTTATGTGTAGTGAGGGTGTTGTGTTTGGTGTTGTTTGTGTGTTGTATAGGTGTTGTGTTTGGTGTTGTGTGTGGTATAGTTATTATGTTTGGTGTAGGTATTATGTGTGTGGTTGTGTGAGTTGTTTTGTCTTGTTCTTTTTGGCAGTCCTCACTCCCCTCTCATCTTCCCCCTTTACCAATCCTCATTCCTCCTTCTCTACTCCTTCTTCCGCCAGTCCTCGTCCTTCTCCTTCCTCTGCCGCTGCCGCAGCCAACAACACACTGAAGAAGCAATGGGGAGACTCAGAAATAATCCCCTATGGAGACCACTGACTTCTGGAATGGAATGCATGTAAAGCAGTCTATGATCCTAGCTTCGCCGGGTGTAAATTTTGTGGTGGTGGGTTTCCTTTGTGTAAGTTATACTGTATATATTAGTAGTAATAGCGTCCAGTGTGTGTGTGTGTGTGTGTGCTTTACTCTGTCTTACAGTCGTCGTATCCCATTTACCTTTACCTTCATTGTCATTATCCTATAATTTCTTTCACAGTATATATTACCACATAACTGTCTGTAGTGTTGTTTCTGCCATGATGGTGTAGCGTCGAGAGCTGTTCCATTAATACTGTGTGTTTCTCATACAGGTACAGGCAGTGAAACTATTCCAGTGTGCTTCTCATTAAGATGCAGGTAGTGAAACTATTCCAGTGTGCTTCTCATACAGGTACAGGCAGTGAAATTATTCCTGTGTGCTTTTCATAAAGACACAGGCAGTGAAACTATTCCTGTGTGTTTCTCATACAAGTACTGGCAGTGAAACTATTCCTGTGTGCTTCTCATAAAGATACAGGCAGTGAAACTATTCCTGTGTGTTTCTCATACTAGTACAGGCAGTGAAACGAGTTAAAATCATTCTCTTTCATGACCAATTTCCCAGCGTTTTACATAATCACTTTGCCTCGGGCTGTCAGCGTTCATATCAAAGAACTCCAACTCATTGTCAGTCCACCCGAGCCTGAGTTGTGATCAAACGAATCTCTGTGTTGTACCAGCGTTGTAATGGTCTGTACCAGCGGCCACTACTTACTGTACCGGTCGTAATGGAATGTACCAGCGTCCACTACTTATTGAACCGATTGTAATAGACTGTACCAGCATCAAATACTTAATCTGTCTGTTATAATGGACTATACCAGCATCTACTAGTTACTGTACTTGTTGTACTGGACTGTACCAGCTTCCATTAATTACTGTACTTGATGCAGTGGACTGTATCAGCGTCCACTACTTACTGTACCTGTTATAATGGACTTTACCAGCATCCATTACTTACTCTACCTGTTGTAATGGATTGTACCAGCGACCACTTCTTACTGTACCTGTTATAGTAGACTGAACCAGTGTCCCCTTTTTAGTTGCTTAAAGGACTGTAGGAGAGAAGGCTTTGGAAGGAAGGAGCTGTTGTGAAGAGGAAGTGAGGGAGCTATTAGGGGGAAGAAGGGAGGGAAGGAAGCAGCTATTGTGAGGGAGGGGGGGTGAGGGAAGGAGGAGACTGTTAGGAAAAGGGAGGGGCGAGGGAGAGGGCTGTTGGAAAGGAGGAAGGAGAGAAGAAGGGGACAGTTAGGAGGAGGAATGGAGGGGAAGATGAGCACAGAAGGGGAGAGGGGGGCACTAGTGGTGGTATATTTCCTCGGTGCTCAAAGTTTTCATTTCTGGCTCTCAAAGGTCCTCGTGATAATTTTCCCAAATGAAACGTGTGGACTTGTTGTAAACAGCTTAGAGTAATTTAGTTTGTAACCAGTATAGCAACAAGAGTATTATACACTATGGATGAAGAAGAATAGATTTTTTTAGATT